AAATTGAGGATATTATACTGGATACAGCTGATGGCAGGTGTTATTTTATTTTCTTAGTATCTATATTTCATAAAAATCATAAATAAAGGTTGAGTTTTAAAGCTGTTATATTCTACCAGGAAGAATGATGTGTGAATAGTCCAGTAAAGAAAAGAAGAAAATTTATTCTTGTAAATAGTCTTTTTGTCCTTATGATCCTGTTTTGAAACAAAATTGAGAATAGTTCACTACAGTCCAAAATTTATCACGTGTCAAATCTTTTATTCCTGATACTATAAGAATCTGTTCAAACCAATATGTTCATTGAAAAGTTTAAATGGTTGTAAATCGACATTATTAAGCACTCACTGTTTTAGTAAGGACTGCTTTAAAACAAAAGTTTATTCTGAACACTTCTATCCTGATGAATACCAGTTAGAACAGATGTATGGTGTAAAGATATTATTTAATTTTCATTATTTCTACATCTGTGACTGAGCCAAATCTTAAAATTTAAACCTGAAGTTGGAAGGTGAAAGGAGAAGTTAGTAGAAATCACAGTTTTAAAGTCTGGCAAACACTTCTTATGCAAAATAGAAGTAATTTAGCATAAAGAGTCACCTTGTTTATTCATCTTGGTTCAGACTACTTTAACCAATAGAATTTTTCATCTCTATGCCACCGCAAGGAGCCCTGGTGGCTCAGCTGCTGACTGAAAGATTGGTCCTTCAGTTGCAGAAAAATATAGCAGTCAGTTGCCCTAAATACTACATACTTGAAAACCTTATGGGATGTAACTACTCTGTCTTATAGGGTCACTGTGAGTTGGAATCAACTGAATGGCAATGAGTTTTAGTTTATGCTACCACAATTATATACCTACTGATGAGGTAGGTGGAGCTCTGGTGGTGTAGTGCCTAAGGCATTTGACTGCTAATCAGAAGCCTAGCAGTTCAAACCCACCAGCCACTCCTCAGAAGGAAGGTTGAGCAATCTACTTCCGTAGTGATATGGCCTCGAAAACCCAAGAAGGGGTTGCTATGAGTCAGATCCAACTCCACGGCAGTGAGTTTGGTTTGATTTGGTTCTACTGATAATGAGATAGGGACAAATGTAAGGAATGGAAGTTGCTGATCATATTCTTTTGTAAATTGCTTAAACTACACCTACTGATAAGAGCTAAGAAAAACTCCTATTAGAAAAGTATGTAATTTTGAGATCATTTGTTGCAGGCCCTAGGGTATAAAACAGGGTACTCAGTGGACAGAGCCCCTTTTGATCAATAGAGAAGTAGATACCTGGATCAATCAGAGGATCAGAACATCAAAAACTAGGAGTCCTGCCCATGTGACTTGTAAATCTTATAGCCTCCCCATTCTGTCCCCTACAACTGCTATAAAGCAACTGGGAACGTTGGCAGTTCAGTTAGCATGCTATACGCCTACTTACTGTCCTGCTGTCCAGTCTTGTGCAGAGTTTCATTAAAGGCTTGCTCTCTATAAACCACCTCTGTCTCTGCGAGCAATTCTTTCTTACCAGAAGACTAGAACCCATTTGGGTATCATGGGGTCTCCCTCTTATAACACTCATATATTCATTCAACAATTAGTGAGTACTTTGCTTAGTTTGTTCTTTAAAAAGAGAAATAAATGTATGAGTTATCACCAGTAGTTCTAAGAAATAATTAGGGCAAATCTTAAAAATAATTAATATATACTCTTGTTTTCTCTAGGAGCTCTCGTAGCATAGTGGCCAAGGCACTTACTGCTAACCAGAAGGCTGGTGGTTCAAACCCACCAGCCACTCCTTGGAAGGAAGGTTGGGCAATCTACTTCTGTAGTGCTACTGCCTCGGAAACCCAAGGAGGGGTTGCTATGAGTCGGGTCCAACTCGATGGCATATAACAACATAACAACAACAACTTGTTTTCTCTAAGGAGCTCTGGTGGTGCAGTGCCTAAGGCACTTGCCTAACGTTGGCAGTTCATACCCACCAGCTGCTCCACAGAAAGAAGATGGGGCAATCAATTTCTTTAAAGAGCAACTGCCTCAGAAACCTAATGGGGTCACTATAAATCAGAACCAACTTAATGGCAGTGAGTTTAGTTTTTTGGCTTATTTTCTCTATTTGCCTAATTTGATTTAAGATCCTCATTTTTCATTGCTAAGAGCAGTATATTTTATTATGACATTGTAACTACCATCCTAGGCACTCAAAGTATGTTCAAGTCAAGTTTGTTGTTGATAGGTGCCGTGGAGTCATTTCCAACTCATAGTGACCTTGTGTACAACAGAACAAAACACTGCCTGGTCCTGCTCCTTCCTCACAGTCTTTGCTATGTTGAGCCAATTGTTGCAGCAACTGTGTCAATCATGTTGCTGAAGGTCTTCCTCTTTTTCCCTACCTTCTGCATCATGTCCTGCTCCAAGAACTAGTCTCTCCTGATAACTTTTCCATAGTACGTGAGACATAATGTATGTCAGGAGCAGTCTGACTGTATTTCTTCCAAGACAGATTTGTTCATTCTTCTGTCAGTGACTGGTATATGAAATATTCTTTGCCAACACCATAATTCAAAGGCATCAATTCTTCTTTTTCAGTCTTCCTTATTCATTGTCCAGCTTTCACATGCATATGAAGCAATTGAAAACACCATGGCTTGGGTAGGCACACCTTACTTCTCAAAGCGGTGTCTTTGCTTTAAGAGGACTTTTCCACCAAATTTTCCCAGTACAATACAATGTTTATTTTATTGACTGCTACTTCCATAGGCATTGATTATGGATCCAAGTAAAGTGATATCCTTGGCAACAGTATTTTTTTAATTGTGATTTGGGTGAAGATTTACGAGCAAATTCACTTTCCATACAGCAGTTCACATATACTTTGTCTCATGTCATTGACCATAGTTTACCACAATGCAACAGCTCCCCTCCCACTTCCTCCCCATAGTTACCTCTTCCCAGTGTCCATCCCTCCATACACTCCTGCACCCTGAGCTGTCTCCCTGTGCATAAGCAGCCCTTCTTTCTCCCATGATTTTTCTCTCCAAGGAGTGTATCTACTTGAGGTAAATGTTTAACTCATATACCTACATTTTGTTTGGCTGGCAGCCACAGGTGTGGGTTCAATTCCAGACCTGAAGGGCAGCTAGGGGCCATAGTCTCAGTGGTTCCACCAGGTTCTATTGGACCAGCAAACCTGTCCCCCCCCCCATTTTTTCTCCAAATGATTTTGAGTTTTGTTCCACATTGTTCTCTCTCTCTATCAAGGGTCTCCTACGTAGATCCCCTTCCAAGTGGATGACAGTGGTAGCCGGGCACCATCTAGTTCTTCTGGTCTCATAGTTGTATAGGCTGCAGATCGGATGGTGTACCAGTCACCAGGACTAATTGTTTCCATGAATTTTGGTTTTCTTTATTCTTCTTTGCTCTGGATGAGGAGAGACCCATCATTGCATCTAGATGGCAGCTTGCTAGCTTTTAAGATCCCAGTCACTACTCGCCAAAGTAGGAGGTGGAACAATGTTTTGTATAGTATGTTATGTCAATTGAGCTTGATGTCCCCTACAACTAGGCAACAATATTTTTGCCACTTACCACATTGTTACTTATTTATCCAGTTATGAGGATTTTTATTTTCTTTAGGTTGAGGTGTAATCCCTACTAAAGGCTGTCTTTGATCTTCATCAAAAAGTGCTTCAAGTTAAAATGTTTCCTTTCAGCAAACAAGTTTGGGTCATTTCCATATCCCAAGTTGCTAGTGAGTTTTACTCCAATCCCGATGCCATATTCTTCTTCATATAGTACAGTTTCTTAGATTATTTGCTCAGCATACATATTGAATAAGTATGGTGAAAGGACATAACCAAGACACATCTTTCTGATTTTAAACCACACAATGTCCCCTTGTTCTGTTCTAGTGACTGCCTCTTAGTACATGTACAAGTTCTACATGAGCATGGTTAAGTGTACTTGAATCCCCATTCTTCTCCATGCCATCCAAAATTTGTTACGATACATCCTGTCAAATACATTTGCATAGTCAATAAGCACAGGTAAACATTTTCGTGGTAGTCTGCTTTCAGCCAAGATCCTTCTGATATTAGCTATCGTACCCTATCTCACATTTCGCACTGTCTTCTGAATCTGGCTTGAATTTCTGACAGTTTCCTGTCGATGTAATGGTGTGATTATTCTGAACTATATTCTGCAAAATTTTACTTCTGTGTGATATTTAATGATGTTGTTGGATAATTTCCTCATTTTGTTGGATCACATTTCTTTGTAATGGGCACAAATATGGATCTTTTCCAGTCAGTTGGCCAGGTAGCTGTCCTCCAAATTTCTTGGCATAGATGAATGAGTGCTTACAGTGTTCTATCTGTTTGTTGACAAATCTCAATTAGTAGTTTGTGAATTCCTGAAGCCTTGTTTTTCACCAATTTCTTCAGTGCAGCTTTGATTTCTTCCTTCAATACCATGGGTTCTTAATCATGTGCTATCTCTCAAAATGATTGAACGTTGACCAATTCTTTCTGCTATATTGACTCTTTTCATCTTCTTTTGATTCCTGATGCTTATTCAGCAGACCTTTCCAGTGTCATTCAATATTTTGCCCATAGAATATTTCAATATTCAGTCATTTATTGATGATTAATAAACCATAATAATCAACTTTTTTTCTGGTTTTTGTCAATGTTTGAATCTCACACATATATTTTTCTAAAGAACATAATAACTTATAACCTTAATTTTAATAAATATATATTTGAGATGAGTGCCTGCATTTTAGAAATATTAAGACATTAATGTGTATAATTAAAATATAGAGTAACTACAAAGTAGTTGATCATTTTAATGAAAATATGTTGTCATTTTTATTGGATGTATGCTAAGCATTAGTGTCAATGGATTACAATTACAGAAACCCTTAGCATTTCAAGATAATAACTCATTAATAGTCTTGCATATCTGTGACCATATTTAAACATTTCAAATTCTGCCATTTTTATCTTATAGGAAATAAATGATGTGGATGTACAGGAACTTGTAAGAAGGTCAATTGGAAGATTAACAATTATTCGACAGACATTTCCAGTCCCACAAAACATAAGTCAGCGATGTTTCCGTGGTAACCATCGAATATCTTCAACATTGTGTGATCCAAAAGATCCCTTTGCTCAGAATATGGAGGTATGTCCTAAAGGCTGGGTTATTTCCTTCAAGGAATTCTATAGATGAGAATTTAAGGAGAAATTTTTTTCAACTTGCTTTGAATTCAGAATCATACATTGTGGCATTTCTATACTATTTTCCTCTACCAGCAATTTAATAAGTCTAATGAAGAATAATAAAAGGCTGTGTCTTTGAGCATATTGGCCTCATTATAGAAAGAATATCTAATTGTTTAAAAAAGGATAATAGATAAAAGTCGTTAGTTTCTTAGCTAGTTGATATATAACATTTGTCATGGTAAAACTTCTAATTTGTGTTCTTTAATGCAAAACTTCACACTGAAGCTAATAAATTTGCTTAACTTCTCTGAAATAAAAAACACATAGTATTTTATTTATTTATTTTCCATTAAGATTAGTCCACAGTATTAAAAGTTTACAAAAAAGTTCTTTAGAAAGGCAAAACTGCAATATTATTATAGTGTTGCCTCACTTAAGTGGGTTATAGATGAAACATTTTCATTCAAAATACAACAAAGAATTGGATGTAAAAATAGAAAATCTCTGAGCAGCAAAATAGAGAACTCCAAGTTTCTAAATCTTACTCATAAGAATGTCCTTTACATACCCATCTAGAGCCTATTTATTTTTATTAATAAATTCCTATCAGGTTTTAAAAACTCATTATTTCTCTTTGAACTGGAGGATTCAAAATGTCAATTCAATGTGAATGTTTCAAAGGCAGTCACATGGATGACAGTAGGGAGCCAAAAGGAACACTCTCTAGCAAAACAAGAGACAGAAAAAAAATTAATTGATCAAATACAATAACTCAAATATCCTCTCAGTATTTTCTATGAAGACAATCCTGTGTAATAAAATAATTCATAAGGATATCACTGTAGTATACAAGTATGTGGATTAATATTTAAACAGTAACACTGAGATATCAACAAAGATTAAAATTATGCTCAAATTCAGAATAAGAATATATGTGTTCTTTGGAATTTAACTGCTTAACCAGAAGGGTGACAGTTCAAACCCACCAGCCACTCCTCAGAAGGAAGATTGGGCAATCTACTTCCCTAGTGATACTGCATCGGAAACCCAAGGAGGAGTCGCTATGAGTCGAATCCGCATCGATGGCAGTGAGATTTTTTTTTTGGAAGGGAAATATTTAATTTTGATAATAGTTTAGTACTTAGAGATACTCATTTTAAACAGTTTGGAAATATGACCCTAGGTGGACTGATTTGTTTTCCTACTGATACTGGATAAGTAAGGTGATTTTGTAAAACTACTTCTGCTTTAGAAAGATAACCTCACAAACTTCCTGTGGCATGTCAGCTCCACATTATTTATTATTATTATTATTATTATTATTTTGGCTGAATTGTCATTACCCTAACCACTTCTTTATAATTATTAGCATCATAATGAATAGCTTCTATTTACCAAGCAACTCCCACCCCACCTAGATCTTCATCCCAATCCCCTCAAACCCATGGATAGAAGAAAACAAGACAATTATTTTTTCTCTAAGAGTTTATTACATATTAGCTTCCCACAGAAGTATGATAGAATTTGACTAAATATTTAATAAATAAAAGGAAAACTGACAGAAAATTTTATATGTGAAGATTTATATAATTAAATCAAGACTCTTGAATCTAAATGTTCCATTAAAAACAGAGCTTTTGATGTACAGGCTTGTCTTAGTGAAAATTTAACTCACTGAAGTTAGAGAAAGCAACAAGATAAAATGCTACTTTGCATTAAATTCTGCTCAGCAAGGCACTGTTGTATGATAATTTGGGAAAAAGGAGTTTTCCCATATGAAAGTAATCCACTCAGTTTAGAATTCTTAAAAACAATGCAGGTAGTCACAATCACAGACTTATGTCTTGAAATCGAAGGGTACAATAAAACAAATTCAGAAAAACAGCCATGCAAATATGACTTAACTGATCTCCAAAAATAGAAAGCCCATTTATATAATCAAACAAATCAAGAAAAGGAGAGAAGAGGTAATAGTTTTCAGTTAAAAAAAAGTTCCAAGCAGTGATTCCCCTTCTGCACTGTGTATCACCCTTCAGTTTTGTCTGAGGCTTTCTTCTTTGTTCTGTGAGAGTTGCTTATATCTGAGCTGCATTGAAGGGAAGCCTAGGCTGACTTTCCTCTATTTCAAGAGGAGGAGAGGCTGGAACATCTCAGAAGGATCTCTAAAATATCTATCTTGTTGGTTTCAGAGCTCCAGTGGCCCTATAGTCATTGGGGAAGCAGTCTCCACTTATGTGACAGTCTTCCTGGCTCCACTGTAGAAAACCTTCTGTAGAAGTTCGTACCAGTCCAACTTCTGACAATTACCATGTGGGCAACAGGTTGTCATGCTCTTTCTGAAAGGACTCCTAGAGAGGTGTGCTTTGTTGCTATCAGAGCTCATCCCACCATATGTTGGTTGTGGATGTAGCCTCCACTCAAGATGCTTGCTTCCTAGCACATGGCCGCCTTAATCAGTCTTTAGCACTTATCAGATGAGGGACTAGATGGACACAAATTGTCCCCAGAAAGATCTGTCCTGTTATTTCCAAGTCCTGAGATATGGGTTGAAAAGGGAGTCAATTTTAGTGCTGAATATGGGAGCAGACTCCATTGCAGGGGTTTTCTGTAGCAATTTACAACTTGTGCTGTTGTTATGTGCCACGAATCAGACCCAACTCATAGCGACCCCTCCTTGGGTTTCTGAGGCAGTATCACTAAGGAAGTAGATTGCACCATCTTCCCTCCGAGGAGTGGCTGGTGGGTTTGAACTGCCAGCTTTCTGGTTAGAGTCAGGTGCCTTAGCTACCATGCTACCAGAGCTCTCACAATTTACAACTTACAGGGTCCTTATGAGTTGGAATTAACTTAATGGCAGTGGGTTTGGGCAATGAACAGTTACCAAGTGAAGATGGAGATGCCATGCTTCAGTCAGATCCTCACCGAAAGGAGGTTTGCCTTTTTTGCTATCAGAGGCCTCCTCCACCCCAATAGGTTATTGGCAATGAGTGTAGCCTTCACTCAAGACACCTGCTTTCTAGCAAACAGCAGCCTCTGTCAGCAATCCTTAGCACCAACCAGAAATAGGGGAAGACTAACACAAATTGACCTCTAAGGAGGTTTATCCTCATGGTATCAGAGGCCTGAGCTATGGGATGTACAAAGAAGAAGGTAGATGCTAACTTTGGGAACAGACTCCACTGCATGAGCCTTCTGTAACAATTCACAGCTGTCTTACAGGTGATAATGTCCAGAGGGGGGAAGAGTTTTCATGCTCCAAGCAGACCTTCAGGTAGGTCTGCCTTGTTGGTATCAGAGGCCCCCATCCCCAATCCATAGTATATTGGCTGTGCTTGTAGCCTCCTCTCAAGATGCCTGCTTTCTAGCATAGAGCAGCCTCAGTTAGGAGTCCTCAGTGTGGGCCAGAGGGGGAGAAGAGAGACCTAAATTGATTTTCCAGGAGACCTATCCTGTTGGGTTTCAGAGGCCTAAGCTATGAGATGCACAAAGAGGGAGGTAGCGTGTTGACTATGACAGTGCTCATTTTTTTTTTTTTTTTAATTGTGATTTGGGTGAAAATTTACAGAGCAAATTCACTTTCCATACAGCAGTTCACATACACTTTGTCTCATAACATTGACTACAATTTACCCCAATGCAACAGCTCTCCTTCAATTTCCACCTGATAATTATCTCTTCCCTGTGTCCATCCCTCCATATACTCCTGCCCCCTGAGCTGGCTCCCTGTGCATACCCAGCCCTTCTTTTCTCCTATGATTGTTCTCTCCAAGGAGGGTTCTACCTCAGGTAAATATTAAACTCATAAGCCTGTCTTATATTTGGCTGGAATACACAGGTGTGGGTTCTATTCCAGACCTGAAGGGCAGCTGGGGGCCATAGTCTCAGTGGTTCCACCAGGCACGATCAGACCAGCAAAACTGGACCCCTTTTTTCCCATATGATTTTGAGTTTTGTTCCACATTGCTCTTCCTCTCTATCCAGGATCTCCTACATAGATTCTCCTGCAAGTGGTTGACAGTTGTAGCCAGGCACCATATAGTTCTTCTGGTCTCATAGTTTTATAGGCTATGGACCACATGGTGTACCAGTTGCTTGCACTAAATGTTTCCATGAATCTTTGGTTTTCTTCATTCTTCTCTGCTCTAGACAAAGAGAGATGCATCGTTGCATCTAGATGACTACTTTCAAGCTTTTAAGATCTCAGTTGCTACTCGACAAAGTAGAAGGTGGAACAGTGTTTTGTGTAGTATGTTATGCCAATTGAGCTTGATGTCCCCTGTGACTATAGTCTTGTGTCTATAGGTTCAACTACTCACTCTCTCTGGGTAGCTGCCTGTGCCCAAAAAGTGCCTACAACTTTGTCCCTTGTCAGCTCTACTATTCACCTGGGAATTCTTAAAGAACATACAAATACACTTGTAGAACCATTGTCTGCCAACCCTATACATGGCCTTTGGTACACTTTGGTACACTTTGGTACCCATGTTCACCTTCACTGACACCGCAGTACTGTATGTGCAAAAGGGTTCATCTTTGTTGTCTGTACCTATCATATACCTCTCTATGTCTTCCTCTTCCTCAGTGCCATCATGTTGATCACTCACATTTGATACATTTCCCTTCTCTTCACCCAAATCAATACTTATCTCTACCTATCTAATAGTGTTCTCTCCCCTCCCCTCCCACCCCTGGTAACCAACAAAGAAAATTTCCTTTTGTATATAAACCTTTCCTTGAGTTTTACAATAATGGACTACTACAATATTTGTCCTGTGACTGACTTGTTTCACTCAGCATAATGTCCTCCGAGTCCATTCATGTCATGCGGTGTTTTGCAGATTCTATGTTATTCTTTAGGGTTGCATAGTATCCCATTGTGTGTATGTACCATAGTTTGGTTATCCATTCCTCAATTGATGGACACCTAGGTTGTTTCCATTTTTTGGCTATTGTAAATAG